AATATATATAACAGATTTATTATAATTACATAAATATATAACAGAATATATGAAATTGTATAGAAATATTTATATAAGGTTATATATTAAATTAATATAGCAATTATCTTGAGTATATCTATATAAAAACAATTTTATTATGTTCTAAACCTTCCACCACTACAGCTCAGATCACCCAAATTTCCCATTTTTCCTGTCTAAGATTTCTCCTCAAAGGCAGTGCTGGGAAGTTTGGGAAATGCCAGGTGAACCAGACCACGCTAAAAACTAAATCAAATATCAAGGAAACGCTTCCACTTGTCCTCTTTACCTTAGGCCAAAGCCACTGGCATTGCCATTAGCACAAAGCTGGTATTTTCCAAAGAAGGTCAGGCTTTTCTGGACCAGAAGATCTAAAAGCCTCATGGATCAGGCTGCTGAGCTGTTACATCTGCTGACTTGAACTAATACCACATTTCTAATATGCTACGGAGAGGACCTAGGGATGTGTAGTTGGGAAAGAATATTTGGCAAAGTAGTGCAATTCAGCACATTCGGAGGTTTCCAGGGAGATCTGTCCAGTGCAAAGAATAGGAACCTTTTCTGTATCTTGAGGCAATGGCAAGACCTTGAATCACGTGGAAGTTTCCATGTGTTTGTTCCTCCGATGACCATCACGTAAGCCCAGAGCAGAGCCTTGCTGAGGAATCGCTCTCTGTGTAGGTCAGGAGAAGGAAAGGCAACGTGGAGTCTTGCAAGGGACAAAAGCAGATACAGCAATTGCAGTGTATAGCTCATTTTCCTGCCCGTTTCCCTCAAGCAGCAAGGGGTTTTTCCAGATGTAGAGAAAACAGCGATTGCAGATATGTACAAAAGTTTATTTTTTACAAACAGCGACTACTTTGGAATAACAAAATTGCAAAAACATAGAGCAACATTAGAAAACCAGCTCAGGGGTACATTTCCTATCTGGAGCACAACTGAACAGCCTTCTCTCAGTACAAATCCAACCCCTACTTCTCTCACACCCCTCCCCAACCATCTACCAGATGGGATTTCTTCATAAAGCTTTAATGCAGATATGAAGTAGACACTGGTGACACTGCAGTGATTTTGGACAATTACAATTAAATGATCGACCGTATTTTTCAGCCTTAAAAATAAAAAAAGTCAACTCAGATCTGAAACATGACAAAGTTGGATTCTGAGGCAGTTTTTTCCCCTCTGGCAAGTATTGAATGGTGATGTTTATATTCGTGTATTTTGTCACTTGTTCTATTTTCTCAGTAAGGGGAAAAAAAAAAACCTCAGTTACATTTGTACTTGAAGCTACAAAACTGCAAGAAACTTCATAATATATTTGTTCAGGAGTCCAAAATGGTGTTGCTGTTAAAAACCTGACTGTCAATGCACACTGACTTGAGTAATTCATGTACTGGATGTTTAAAAGCGTATGGAGCTTACAAAATATTGATTGGAAATGATTACGTGCGCACGCTTTTCCATCCAGCTACGAGAGCAGGAAGGGTGTAAGCCCGGAATTATTTCGGGTTTTTCTAGGAAGTGAGAAACCTGTGTAACAACTCCAGTTTTACAAACCTGCTCTTTGTGGACAGCCCTCAAACCTCACTTTGCACTCGCTTTTCGCGTTTCAGAAGCGTACCAAAAGCTAATGTTTGGATAGCTTCATTCGAAGCGAGACATTTCCACTTCTCATTTTCAAAACCGCCGGCTCCCGATGAGCCTTTTGTTAAAAAAAATTTTCCAATATTTGAAAACATTTGAGAGAATGAGAGCATCTCAAGCTATTACAGAAAGTCAGTGACGAAAACGACTGTAATACAACAGTACTCGTCAGCTGTAATAAAGCTATGTTAGTCTGGTTCTTCACTAGACCCCAGTTTTCAGGTTACATTATGCCATTAAAAAATTGCTTCTTAGTACATAACTTTCTAAACACTGAAAAAAACTTTACAAAGTATTTTAAATCAACTCAGAATATTGAAAAAAATTACTCAGTGCTCTTCAGCTTAAACCCACGGGTTTTCTGTGACCATTGACCTGTAACACGCAGTCGTTTTTGGTATTAAGTTTTACTCTGAAACTACTGTCCATGCTTTTTACCAGGCATACCAGTGTTGTTGTGGATAGATCACTTTAACAATATAGAGTTCAGTATCTGCAGTATCAATATCTGATATTCCCCATGGCAACCGGGAGGCATTTACAGACGTTTTATAAAGGAACCATTATGGTTTGTTTTCTCAAAAGAATTATCGCCATTTAAGTTTTTAATAAAAAGCATTTTGAACAAACTCAATCTCCTCAAGGGTTTGCAACATTCAAAAATGCCAAGCACTGGGATATGAATTGAAGTAAGATACAAAAAGTGTTCAGAAACACTTTTTTTTTTTTTAAGTCTTAAGAACTGTTTATCACAAAATTCGATTTTAAACGTGGAAGTTCAGACAAGTTGGATATTAAGATCAGAACTGATTCATCGCACTTCTGCCGGTCGATTTGACAATTCCCAGGTGTGTAACCTCACCCATTTCAGCAGACCTCTGCAGTATCACAGTGCGGAAAGGATTAAGACAGAGCGGCAGTCTTTGTTCTCGTCACCTCGCTGTTGTAAATATTCTGTCTGTAATGCCATAACCAGCAAACAAGACAGCAGGGAGCTCATCTTCCAGCATTACAAAAGGAAAAAGCAGGTTAATAAACTAGAAATGGCAGCCTTCGTAAGAAGTTTTCTTCATAGTTTTATAGTTGCTAGCATATATTTAATAGTAACAGGCAGAAAGCCCCAAGGTGTTTATAAACGTACTTGATGGCTGCGCCCAGAAAAGCGGTGGCAGCAAATTCAGTTGAGTGTCATTCATGGCTTGGAAAATCCAATTCAAGGAAATCAAATCGGGTGGGTTTTTTTCTTATTTTGTAAAAGTAGCGTTTGACCAAAAAAAGACAGACAAAAACTCAGCGGAGCTGAGCTCAGTACTTCTCTCCATAGGCATGGAGTCAGTCAAGCGAGTTCACTGCTATTGGTAAAGCTCCAGCTCGCACAGTAAACACCCTTTAACTTCACCTGTGATGCTGTCAAAACAGGCTTCTTTTACCATAACACTGAAAAAGTTATTAACTGTGGTGTCCATCGTCGGAGAAAAGTTCTCAGCTGTATCTGCTGCTTTCGCTGGGGCTTCGATTGTTGGAGTAACTGCGATCGCTTTCGCTGTCAGAGCCGTAAGATCTGCAAAGAAGAGATGAAAATGCTTCAAAATTGTATTTTCAAATTCAAAACTGCACATCCTGGTTTGAGCTAAATAGAGCTAATTTTCTATTTAGTGATTTTACTTTTCAGCTCAGTCTCTTTTAAGTGGCTGAACTTGCTGAAAAGTGGCAGGATGTTTTCCCCAGACAGTGTGTACAGCTACAAGTGATCATCACACAGTCACTGTCTCACCATGGGTGCCGTGTCTGTGCCTACAGGGGGGGTAAGTGGACCCAAAACTGACCAACGAGGTATTCCATCTCACACACATCATACTCGGTATAAAGCTGAGGGATCATGAGGGTCTCAACCCTTCTTCCATCTCGGACCCTTCCATCCATCTCAATCCTACAATGGCTGAGGTCTGAGCAGACCCTGCTGGTTCGTCTGCCTCTGATCCTGATTTGTGTGTTCCTGCATCAGCTCCCACTGCTGCTGGGTCTGTACTAGGACTTTTCCAGTGCCCTGCTCCGCAGAGTCTCTGGGGATGTCACTGTCACTGGGGGGAGGATTCTACATTGGTTTTGTAGATACATTTGCACATATCTATATATATTTAATTATTTTCCTATTTACATTCTTATCCTGTAGTATCAGTATTATTGTTTTATTAAATCTGTTAGTTTTATTTTCCAACCCGTAGTGTCTTTTTCTCTTATTCTCTTTTCTCTTCCCTTCTGGGGAGGGGAGAGGGGTTCACAGAGAGTGTCTGGCCAGGATTTAGTGGCCGGCCCAGCCCTAAACCACGACACTGCATCACATAGAATAATTGTCAAGACAGACACACACGAGAAGACGAAAACATACAAGACGTCTTTTACAGGTTCCTTTTTAATATAACTGAAGTATTCATTAAGGGACACTCAAAATTAAAATAACCATTACTTTTACATGATGAAAAGCCTAACTCCAGTCAAACTGTGTTTGTAACTACAAAATTTCTTGCCTTCTCCAGCTACAAAATAATTGAAAATAACTGGTTTTACAAATACTGCCTGAGAAGTAAATTCTAGCCAATATAATTTGATATTGCAAGCTTTTCCAACTAAGATAATTTCACAAATCCCTGCTTTATATATTGCAGGTTTTTGTTTCAAGAAGGCTCTTCGGAAGTAGCCCCCATCACAACAACAGGAGCCTGTGAGTGTCTGCAGAGTGGAAGCTGTAGATTAAAATGTTTTGACTTATCCAGGAGAATTCCAAGCTCAGCACCTGGCCAAGCACCACGATGCAGTCCAGATGGTTGCAGACAAGCCCCAGGACACATTCAAATTACACAGAATAAACTTTCACTTGAAATTTTCTAGCCTCACGCCTGTAAGGAAAGCTTTCTAGATGAAAGATGAGCACATCCTAATCCACCATTGTTTGTCTGAAGTGTCCCAACATCCTACAACAATGACTTTGTAAGCCTATTTCCACATTCTTTGCTAATCTCTTTCATTTCCCCTCAAACACATGAAGAAAGTTGTCTTGGTATCAGACCTACAGGGGGAAATGGGTGACAGCGAAGTCCATTAGGAACTGGAATAAAGTTGTGAAAAAAATGAGTGTGAAGACAGCAGAGGATGACAATTTACAGTAGTCTTAGAGGTCTGCCTGATCTCTGACGGACTGATTAGGGACATATTAAAAGGTACAAAACAAGCCTTTAATCCATAACAGGCACTTGATTTAAATCTTGAAAGCTAGCTCACTGTAGCTTAAGAAACATTTAAAATTGTTTAAGGAAAATAATCGTGTGCTTATTGAATGTATGCGGACATACATACAATGACCCGGAGCCTTCTCAAATCTCTCATCCTTGTTTCTTCCTCATCCCCAAACCAGGATCGCAGAAATTCTGATCCTCCCTCAAACACTGGCTCCAATTTTAGCTGGTTTGAATTACAGCTTTTAGTAGCAATATAGTTTTTACACTTAGGATAAAACAATTAGCCTCCATGAACCTTTTAAGTATGCGTTTAGCAAATTCACTTGCACAAAGTCATGCTGGCAAAACCACACCTGGATCGTCTATCGTAACTCCTAGATCTTCGATAGCTGTCGCTCCTTTTACTTCTGCTTCGACTTCTGCTGTAGTAACTATCATACGTGTACGACCTGCTTTAGAGGGAAAAGAAAGTCAATGTAAATTTACAACTCGTGGTCTAAAATGCCATTTGTTTTTAACATACGTTGTATTTATATACAGAGGTGAGTGGCTACATAGAAATCACTTCTGAAGGATGTGGCGAACAGAGTAATTCAACATTTATAGAAGTTAAATTCAAGAACAAGTATCTTCAAAACAACTGGAAAAATCTCAAATTTATTAATCTAGAAAAGACTGAGCATTTAAGTTTTGTGTTTTCTCTACAAACTGTAGATGAAGTAAGAATCTTGTTTGCTAATACTTCTGAAGACAAGTAACAAAGTGTAATATAACTCATTTTTAGTTTAACAGTAAAGGGAAGTGTTTACTCATCTCATATTATTCATCTCATATCATCACCTATAACCAATTATTTGGGTATTTTCAGCTTTTTAAAGTGTCTTCTGTCGATCTTGCTCCGATTCAAGTTGCTAAGGTGATATTGTATTGTTAAAGTACCATAGATAAAGGGGTATTCTTATACCGAGATATTTTTATAAGTACATTTATTACAGAGTTTGTAAACAACTCTAATCCATACCTGGATCGACTGTGATGACCATAAGAGCTACTTCTGGATCTACTTCTACTATAGGTTCGACTGACAAGAACAAAAACAGAGATATTTGAAGTTAAACACAAACAAGCGGGGAAGATTTTGCTCAGAATTCCCTACCCATGCTACAAAACACAAAAATTATTTTGCAGTAACAGGAAATTTTGAAATCTGATTGTTTTAACTTGCACATTTCAAACGGAGAATGCAGAGCCAAGCACATTTCCAACGTGCTCAGAGACCGAAGCATGAGACTGCTGTGCCTAATTTACTGGATTTGTAATGAAACCCCAACACTATTTCCATGTAGAGACACTTACCTACGACTCTTGTAGCTGTGGTAAGAACTACTTCGACTTCTTGACCGATCTCTACTATACCGTCCTCTGCTTCGGCTTCTTGTATAGCTTCTTGACCTGCAATCAATGAGCGACTTTGAAAAGCACAAAACAGAATATAAAGAGAAAAGCAGCAGCAAACAGGAAGCAAAAGCATTTTAAATCTTCATCTTTCAAGCTAAATGTTTATTCCATACTTGCTAAATGATACAGTGCTGTTTAAAAAGTGAGTTGGAAAGCAAAAACAAGCCTTAAAGATGTAAGGACTTCCAAGATAACCTGGTAGGCTGTGGGAATAGCAGAAACTTCTTACCTATATGAATACGTCGAACTTCGGGATCGACTTCTGGAGTGACTGTAGGATCTGGACCTTGTCCTGTGTCTGGATTTAGATTCGGATTTACTTCGCGACCTACTGAGACTCCTGGACGGGCTGTTGTCAGCTCTACCTGGGGACTCTTCCTCACTGGAGCTTTCTTGGTTCCTCGGCCTTCGATTCAGCCGCGCTGTCTTTCTGACTTCATCAAACAGAGACCCAGGCCTGACTTTATTTTTAGCTTTTATTTCAATTCTTAAACCTGCTGGTTTAGGCTCTGGCGCTGAAGCGACGTTCTTAACTTCGGTGGCAGTACTAACGGTTCCTGGTTGTAAATTACCAACCCCTTGCAAAGGCTTCCATTTATTATCGATCATATTGCTTTGTGTATTTTCAGTAATTTCACTTTTTAAACCACAGTCTTTAGCGCTGGGCACAGGGACAGAGTTGTTTTCTTGCCTTCCTGTCTCTTTTTCTTCTTTAATACTAATGAAGTCCATTATACTGTTTCCTAGTTTGACAGCATCTTGTTCAGGGGTCTCAACCTGTAAATCTCTGTTGATGCTGGCACTTAAAGCGTGAGGTTTAGCAGCGAGAGTGACAGGAGACAAAACGTCCACATCGACCTTCCCTGGCGAGTTACGATCTGGAGTGCAAATCTCCATGTTGTCATCTGTCTGAATAACATCTTCCAGTCCATTCTGGTTACTTTCTTCAGCTTCTTTCATCTCTTCTTTCATCTCATTCTTGCAAGCGGCCACATTTATTCCTGAGTTTAAAATACCAGTTGAAGTGTTTGTTTCAGTGCTGTCTTTATTAAAGTTACCGCGATTGGGCGAGGCATCGGATGGAGCGTTTTTACCCAAAAGGTTTTCATTCGCACAAGACTTTTCACCATTTTCCATTTTATCTTTGGCTATTTCATCCTTTTCATAAACCTGGTTTTTATCCTTTACGTCCTTGGCAAGCTGCTTTTCTTTTTTATCATCCTTGGTAACCGGCTTTTCATTTATCTCATCATCATCATCTTCACCAAACTCCAGGGGGGGCTGCCAGTGAAACATTTCTTTTCTTTTCTGAACTTTGTGTTTCTTCTCCTTCTTCCCTTTCGTTTTTTCTTTCGCCTTTTTGGAATGGGATTTTTTAAGGGTCTTTTTCGATCCACGCTTGTGTTTTTTTGGCTTTCCCCTGACGTTTGTCAGGCTAGAACCAGAACTCTCAGATTCAGAAGATGACAACTGCTTGCCCGTCCTCCATGCGCAGTCAGAATCCAGAAACCCCTCTGAAGAATTTGATTGGGGTTTTAGCCTTTTGGTAACGCTGAGCTCTGTATCGGATCCCGACGTGGCCTCTCCTTCCTCTTTACCAGAGGAGGGTCTGGAATCTCCCCTGTTATACCTTTCCTCTCCTCTATCAGAATTGGATTCGGAGTCCCATTTACTACCTGAATAAGATCTTTGTTTAGTTTTTGCACCACCTCTGGGTAGCTCAGATTTCTCCTTAGCCGCTTTCTTTCTAGCGTGATCAGAATCCCGCTCGCACTTGGATTTCTCCTCTCTCTCAGAGCTGAAGCTACTTTTGTCCTGTTTTTGCGTATCTCCTTCTAACTGAAAGCGGCTGTCTTTTTCCTGGGCTACTTTTGCTTTGGCAGAGCGCTCGCTGTCAGAAGAGAAGTCTGAAGACGATAAACTGTCGCTCTCTTTCAATCCTTGAGAAGACTCATCGTAGTCTTTGGTACATTTATAAGGGAGGGTGCTCTCCGAGCTGGTTTCTTGCCTCACTTTAAGAGGCCGAGCTTTCTGATCACTTGACGTGGATTTCCTCTTGCTTCTGTGTCTGTCGTCATCGCTAAGGGAATAATAAGACGTCGACCCGCTGTATCCTGACCTGTCACTGCGGTATTTACTCAGCGATGGAGATCTGCCCGAGGAATGAGATTTTGTCCTAGAGCTGGATGGACTTCTGGATCTGGAATAAGACCTTGAGTACGACCTGCTTCGAGAGGACCTGCTCCTCGATCGCGGCGAACTATCCGAGCTTCGGTCGCTACGATATTTGGAGTAACCGCTTCGATCGCTGTCTGAACTCCTTCGTCGCTTACGGTACGAGGAAGAAGCGTCAACCTCTTTGACGGCGACTAAATTGTAGTTAGTTTGCGCGGGTATCAAATGGGTCGTTTTAGCTTTCATCTCCTGAATTCGCTCGTAAGACGGCTTCCACGGTTTCTGCCCAGGTTTCCACCTTGAAGGCGGTGGGCTGTCACTCAGGGGTATAACAGGGAGGCTTTCTGGGACAACGGGCGGTACGACAACTTTCTCAGCGGGGAGTATAACTGCTCTTACGGGCTCAGCAGTCTTGCTCAACTTATTATCATTTAATCGCGTTGAAATATTTCGTGGAGAACTGGAAACTGTCTTTTGATGCCTAGGATTAGAACTTGACCTCGACCTGCTTCGAGAGCGTGAGGATTTAGAGGCTGATCTTGATCGAGAACTTTTCCGGGAGTAAGATCTTGATTTAGACCTAGACCTGGATCTGGACCTGGATCTGTAGTACGATCGTGTCCCTCTGCTGGATGAAGATGATGAGCTCTGGTCTTCCTTATCAGATTTAGACCAGTCTCTTCTGGATGAATGTCTGGAAGACTGTGAAGAAGAACGAGATTTCCTCTGACGATCACAGGATGATTTTGTCCTCCTGAGGAAGGAATGAGAGGATTCGACATCTGATGAGGCCGATGTTTTCTTTCTTTTCGTTTGCTTGTGCTTCTTGAAATGCTTCTGCTTTTTCGATTTCTTTTTATGTTTCACCTTCTTCTTCTCTTTTCTGTGCTTTTTGTGATGGCTAGAATATCTCACAGTACTTAGATCAGAATAACCATTATGTGACCAAGACCTTGACCTCCGGGACACACTTCTTTCATCCCATCTGCTTGTACACGGGTCACTCAACCTAGAAAACAAACAAATGAGCCCCCTAGTAAGTGGAAATTCTTTAAAAACTCCAGATAAACTAAGTCTTTTCCCCACCTCCAATGCAATTAAGTTTAAGAAGAATTAATACATACACACCCTTCACCACCAGGCAACTGCATTGTGACTGAGCTTGTTACACTCATTTTAAATATGGAATTATATCATTACCAAGAGAGCTACTTCTCTGTAAGAAGTGAATCAGCCAACACCAGCAAATTTTGCCTACTGCAGAACCTGTGTAAAGAGATTTAATGTTTCAACTACTCTAGTCCACAGACTACCCTAGACTTTGACCTCTACAACTATAGGATTCTTAAACCAAGTTTAAATGCACATTTTAATACATCATCTTATTTATTATTCGTTTAGCTGGTACGCTGCAATACAGCAATGAACTGAATGCACTCAATGTATAAAAAGAGCTACCAGAAACATTTGTAGCTGTTCAATAATGATTTTATATTCTTTATATTATTTTATATAATGTTCTTTAGTTCTTCTTTTGAGGTTTATCTATCACAATTTAGTAGTGGCTCATATTTAGTATCAAGTCATCAGAAATAGCGGAGAGCTGGCTTCCATCACTCAGTTTGCAATTGCAGAAAGAACAAAGAACTGTTTTAGTTATATATTATAGTGCTGTTATATATGTTATGTTTAGTTATGTTATGTATGTTTTAGTAATCTACCTCTATCTCTACCTCTATCTCTCTCTACCTCTCTCTATCTCTCTCTACCTCTACCTCCCTATCTCTATACATACACACACATATATATATATAGGACTGGTGGATTTGAAGGTCTTATTTGGGATCTAAAGAAGCCAGATAGCCAAGACGGCACCTAAAGGCAACCTGACATGAGTAACTCTGTGGAAAGCAACAGAAAACTGGACAGGTCAATTAATTACTACTTAAATAAGTATACTTCTTAAATAATTATTGCTTCTTAAGTATGGCAGCGTCAGAAACAACTCTTTTCAGCACGTGTTCATCTGGTGTCAAATCAGCAAGGGTTTTAAGAAAGTTTTCAACTACAACTTTTCAGTATTTCAATGGACTGTGTTAACCACAGAGATATTTGAATTTTTCATTCAAACATGGTCATGGTACGTGTACACAATCTATTAAAGCTTGTGTAAAAAACCAAGGCATTTTAAATTCGTGATAAGGATCTTACTTATCGCCTTTACTCCACTTCTCTCCACTTGGCGGTCTGTATGTCCGTAATCTCTGCATTTCCTCTTTCCAGTGAGGAGGGGTCTCACTGCTCTCGTCATCATCAGACTCAGAACACGATCGCGATCGAGGTGGGGTGTGATACCGCTACGAAATCAAAGAAACACATTTACCTTTAGAAGAGACTGGATAATACAGAAAATCTCTTACACATTTTCACAGAATCACAGAATCTCAGGAGTTGGAAGGGACCTTGAAAGAACACCCAGTACAACCCTCCTTCCAGAGCAGGATCACCAGAGCAGGTCACACAGGAACACGGCCAGGTAGGCCTTGAAGGTCTCCCGAGAAGGAGACTCCACAACCTCTC